CTCATGACTGATTTACAGGCTTGCTTTTGTCAGTTTTCAGAAAATTATACAACAGTAACTCATAATAACTGAAATATTTATCAAACTGTAAGGGCTATCTCTGATCCATTTACTCCTGCATAGATAGTACTTTTATTGATGAATTAGCACTTATAATGTAATCCAATTCTTTGCTAACCCTTCATATTCTTTGCTTTTTCATTAAACCAAAATGATTTATGATCCATGAAAACGCTATCCTTCAATTAGTCACAGAATCCTTCAGAGGATTTGACAACTTGTGTATGAACTCACATAGGTTTTTCTAAAATTACACTGCTTTTTGCTTTACATATGCCTCTAATAGTACTCTAATGCCTGAAATGGCCCAGACCATGCAGAAAAATATAGAACAGCAGTGCATTCATTCATTCATTTGTTCATTCAAAGTATAATCTCACCCCGCTATCTCTGCGGGAAACAGCCTTTTTACTCCCAAATTGATCATAACCAACGTTCTGGATGCAAAGAAAATGCTTTAGATGTGGACATGATCACTTTCTAGCTTGAATAACATTTCATCACTGAGCCTGAGCTGAAAAAACAGCCTACCAAGACTGCACTTTAGAAAACTAAAAACCAAATCAGACCAATGTAAAGTAGCTCTCATGAATTTTACACGAGTTTATCTTCGGTTTGTGCTGCAATAAAGCTTTTAGAATTATTACGATGCTGCATTAAACACACTCCTCAGTTTTTCTCTGTTTGAAAGGCACAAAGTGCAACAAACAGTTATTTTCTCTGCATGCGCCAACACTGCAGCTTTCTGAGGCATATGATTACTAATTATTAAGCATGTCATTGCCATGTGCGTGACGCTTGCTCTGAAAGCGTTGTTCTCTTGTGTATCGGTATTAATGAATGGCTTTTTAAAATGTCTTATTAGGTGGAGTTTGAGGATGTCATTGCAGAGCCTGATGGTACACACAGCCTGGATGGGGTGTGGAAGCTCAGCTACACCACTTTCACTGTTTCCAAATACTGGTGCTACCGCGTTTTGTCTGCTGTCTTTGGTATCCCCGTGGCCCTGCTCTGGGGCTTCCTGTTTGCCTGCATCTCCTTCTGCCACATCTGGGCTGTGGTGCCCTGCATCAAGAGCTGCCTGATTGAGTCGCAGTGCGTGAGCCGCATCTACTCCCTTTGCATCCAGACCTTCTGCGATCCCTTCTTTGAAGCCTTGGGCAAGATCTTCAGCAGTGTTCGCGTGGCACTGCGCAAAGAAGTCTAAGAACTCCTGCAGTAGTGTTTGTAGCGTGATCGGATGAAGCGTAGTATCTTTTTATACACCAGAAGACCAGACTTGGCATCTTGCTTGCTGCCTAATACTCTTCCTCCACCTTGACATGACATGTTGTTCCCCACCCTCCCAGTGTCTGACTCATCGATCTGAATCCTGACATGCCCACTGTGGGTTGTGCCAGCAGAAGTTCTGTGACAGCTGAAGCAGGCAGTGTGGTTCTCCGACAGCTCTGGCACTTCTGGAGAAAGGCCCTGTCTAGATTCGACCGCCCTCATGTATTATTTGTTACACAAAATGCTCGGACAATGTCTACTGGTTCACTGCACATGAAACGAACTGCACGACACTGCTGTAACCTGAGGATGCTGCTGCTTTATTGAATCGCATTTGGCCATCTTAAAATTGATGCTGTATGATCCTGCATCTGGAATTGTTTCACTTGAATTAAATGAATGTATCTTATTGTTAATACTTTAACGTGAGTGAAAGAATTTATCTTTGTCTGATCCGGTTTCTTTGTGTATTCTGATGTAATTTCCCCTAATTTCTGATTAGTGTACAAAACATAATAGTCGTTTTGAAGACTTACAAATGCATACATGTGTCAAACAGACACTTCCTCTATTCAAAGTGTGATGAGGTGAATAATAAAAATGCTTATTTGCGTATTTTAGTCAATTCTAAACATATATGTTGGAGTGAAGTAAAATTTCTTTGTGAGATCTGTGTTAATTTTTCACAGTGTTTTTCTTTTCTGGTTTTTTCTTTTCTTTTTTTTAGACCTGCAGTCTGAGAAGCAAAAACATTACAAAAATACCTTAAACTGGACAGAAAATCGTTTTGCTGACTATGTTGCACCAGAGTTTGAGTGTATTGTGTGCATTTTTCAAAACCTTCTGAGAGGCGTCAGAAAATATCTGAGCCTAACATCTGTTTCACTGATACTGTCCTTCTGGAAGAGGTGACCTGTGACCCACCAGAGGTTGCTGTTGTGTATCTTTCATGTGCTTTTCTTTTGTGTCTGAGATCCACGATCAATAATTCATTGTCACCACACTCATTTCTTCTTAGCTATAAACCACTTTTGTATAGTCCACATACTATAATACTGAGAAATAGCAGACTCTTCAAGACATTATCACACTGTTTAATGCCATATGTAGTTATGCAACCACATTTTATTAAAACAAAAAGGCTTTAATCACTTTCATTTTACTAGAATGATGCTCTTAATTTGTAAGACTTAATTAGGTTAAGCTCTCATCACACATTTTAATAACCAAGACACACATTTTAAACTCACAGACTTTAGTAAACATATGTTTACTGCAAGATTAAACCTTTTCACTGATTTTTACAATTCTTACACTGAATTGTCAGGTTGAATCCACTGGAAAGCAGATTAAAAGGAAATGCAGGGCTTTATTTTCAAAAACAAATTTTCAGTTTCATGAGCACAAAATTAATGCTGCTGAATCACTGGAAAAAAGGGCAGTTAGCAAGTAAAGTATAAAATATAAATACTCATTTTCTAAGTTTTTCATTTACATATTTTTTCTGCCTTTTGCGAAACATAAATTAAAAAAAAGCATAATCACACACACTGATTGGCCTCCATATTTATTTTTAATTAATGTACCCATAAAGTACTTGTGAATGAGCAGTTATTGATGTGGTCAATAACCGCTCATTTATGAGTCATTTAATAATAATGGTTCCATTAGTGGCTTTAAACATTAGCACAGTAACAAGGCTACGAATGACTGAATCCATACATATGTATACCTGTTTAATAGAAAGATTGGCCTTTGCATTAGGTACACCTTGCTAGTACATGTTAGATTGCTTTTTGCCTTCAGAACTGCAGTAATGGTTTGTGGCACAGTTTCAGCAAGGTGCTGAATCATTCCTCGGAGATTTTGCTCCACATTGACATGATAGCATCACACAGCTGCTGCAGATTTGCTGGCTGCGCATTCATGATGAAAATCTCTCATTCCATCATATCTCTAAGGTGCTCTACTGCACTGCGATTTGGTGACTGTGGAGGCCATTTAAGTACAGTGAACTCATTGTCATGGTCAAGAAACCAGTTTGAGATGAGTTGAACTTGTGCCATGGTGCATTATCCTGCTGGAAGCAGTCATCAGCAGATGGATAACTGTGGTCATAAAGTGATACGGTTGGCAGCAATACTCGGGTAACTGTTGGGGGGGAGAGCGTGTCAACAAAATGACCACCAGCCACCTATTCTGTTTCACTATATGCCACTCGTGACACTCTTAATTTCCCAATAAGTTGGGGATAAATAAAATGATTGGAATCTGAATCCGTCACAATCATCAGAGCAAACAATGTTTTTTCCAATCTTCCATTGTGCAATTTTGGTGGGTCGGTGTAAACTGTAGCCTCGATTTCCTGTTCTTGGATGACAGGAGTGGCATCTACAGTAGTATGATCTTCTTCTTCATCCTGATGCTCGGTTCCAACTCCAGCAGGTTGTCTTGATCAAATCCACATGCCTAAATACATTGAATTGCTGCCATGTGATTAATTGATTCAATATTTGCATTAATGAGCATTTGAACAGTTGTACCTGAAAAAGTGGCCAATTAGTGTTCAAGGTAAATATTAGCCTACTCAAATCCATCATTTTGACTCTTCAAGATTAAATCTAAAGCTTGGCTCGATCAGTATAAGGCAGCTGAATAATAATGACCCGCCTTTTACACATCTGAGGGATGTTGCTGTACTTTCAGTATTATTTATTCATATTTAATTATAATATTCATTGTATCATACAGTTTTGGCTTTTCATCCAAGTCCCTTCTGACTACGAGTATTGATAACCATTGTGCTGCAATTAACAAATCCAGACTGTCAACAAGTCAGAGTTATTTAGTCACAGCTTATTTTATTTTCATGTCATGCAGCAACTGTTGCCTTCAGGTATCTGACAGAAACATGAGTCACTCATTAGTGTATAAAGTCTCAACCAGGTGAGGTCTCAACCCTATACTGAATTTTGGGGCTGAAACAGGATGTTCCCAACTTGAATGTTATGCCAAGAATCTTTTTAGACTCCTTTCAGGAGGCGAAAGGAAAACTAACCAGCTGTGTTTAAATAATTTTATCATAAGTGTATTTTTGGTTGCTTTCATTCTTTATTTTTTTAATATGTTTTTTGAAAATATTTACCAGTGACAGGCATCTCACATCTAACAAGAACTCAAGTAACGTTTTACATGTTTTACAGGTATGCAGTCCACTGAAAATGTGACAAAATGAACAATGTGGTGCGCAGTATTTACAACAGAAGAACAATTTCATCATAACACAACATGACAAGTAGGATCCAGAAGCTCTGCTGGTGACACTAACTGAACCCATGCTGTGGCTGACGGCGCTTAGAAGCTTTGTAAAGACTGTACTTTTTCTGCATTGCAAACATATACTGTACATCTAAAATGAAAAGTGTAAGAAGAAAATACAACAAAAAATCAGCTGAAGATACAGCTTAGTCTGTGATTATCTCTCTGTGAGTTTTAAAGAGCAATACTTTACCCCCTAGGAATACTCAGCTGAAGATTTCCTTTTATCACAATTCTTTTCCCACTTCACTCTGATATAAAACAGAAAAAAAATTAAGACTTTTGTTGTCTTCCCACTTCTAAACATCAAGCATCAGTGAGGAGGCATTAAAGAAATCAAACTGCTGGATATTTTATGGTCGACAGCACGTAGTGAAAGGCTGAGGGCACAGCGGGCCCGGGGCTTATGTGGTAGAAGTCTGTGTGATGCTCCTCTGACTGCTAGTGCTCTTAATGGCAAAGGTTGAAGAGTTGCTCTTGTGACTGGAGTTAAAGTCACGCTCACAGTGGCACTGGGATGACTTGAGGTAGCGGGTAGAACAGCAAAGAAGATTCTGCCTAAGATCCTGGAACAGATGCCCGGCAAAGCACATATAGATCCAGGGGTTGCAGCAGCTGTTGAGGCTGGCCAGCAGCATGGAGATAATGAAGGGCATGGCTGCGTGTGGGGAGAGAGAAAAGTTACAAAGATGAAAGATTTATGCCAAGTCTGGACTGAAAGGCAGCTTGTTTACTCTGTGAAATTTTGTATTCTAGCAAATAAGATGCTGTTGACTGGCTGACAGTGCGGTACAGCTGTCTTTATCCCAGTAGAGTTTTTTCACAGTGCATATTTTCATGTCTCACAAAAGCCTATGAGGTACCGTGTTACACTGATATTGACCATAACTGTGTGATATTTAAAATAAATACTGATATCATGTTCAATTCTATTCTATTCTTTTTATAGTGTGACAAATCACAAAAACAATCACTTCAAGGCACTTTATATCGTAAGGTAAAGCCCCTGCAATAATAGAGAAAAAAGCACAACAATCAGACACTATGAGCAAGTACTTGGTGACAGTGGGAAGGAAAAACTCCCTTTCAACAAGAAGAAATCAACAGAACAAGACTCAGGGGGGACAGTCAGCTGGAGATGAGGATGCGTTGATAATATTGAAATATCTGCAGTTTTTCTTCTTGAAATCTTTTGTGCATTTTCCTTCGTATCATCATATTATGAGTTTAATTCATTTGCTAAAACAAACAAACAAACTTACAAACTGAAAGATACTTTTTTTTATAATAAAGTTAATGATGGGGTAAAAAATTTGGTATGATGACAGCCACAGACTAAACCAACCTGCAGTCATCTGTAATTTTTGCTTGGCTTCCTTTAAAAAATAAAAATAAAATTGCTTGTGCCGACACATTTAACATATTCCTGGAGATGCATTCCTGCTGAAAACAGCTCCTGTTTCAGGATGCTGGCAGAGTGAGAAGGGGGAATATACAACACAAAGAATTGAAATGGTGAATTATTTAAAGAAGAAAAGTGATGACTTTCTGAAACAAAGGGAATTCCTGCAAAGAGGAACAGTTAGAATAAGAGAAGTGAAAATGGCTCCCCTGCAGTGTCATTATGATACCTTACACTAAGTAATCTGCAGAAGCGTGCAAAATGAAGTTCACACCTTTCACATGACATTTAACAAATGTATGGAATATATATAATTACTTTACACCCTGTATTTAACCTCATCTCACTGATTGCTGATCTTTTCTTCAGTGTGTTTATGCTCCTCCCATTTTCATGTTGTCTTTAATGACAATTTCTAAGCTTGAAAGAAAGAAAAAAATCAATGTAAATGCTCTTTGGAAGGGTGTGAAAGTCACATGCATAATTAAAGGTAGTTGACCGATAGCCATTTAGGGTTGGATTTATGACTCAAAGAACTCCTTTTAGAGGGTCATGGATGTTACGATTTGAGCAATAGTGTGTGAAACAGCCAGAGCATAATATCAGCTGGAGCAGTTTTCAGACATTTATTATCAGAGCAGCGAGAGCACGGCCTGCACTGATGCTGAATAATATCAGGAACTACTCCCAAAAAGGCTTTAATAAATTAGCTCCTGGTGTCTTTCACAAGGAAATAATAAATCACTCAGCAAATGAAAAGAATAAGAAGCATCATCTCCTGGGTGGTACATCTGTCTGGCTGCCACAACTGATAATAGCCTTCTCAGCAATTCATTACTGAGATGACCTAATGCTGAGTCTTGTTTCCCGTGGGCAAACAAACATCAGCAGTAATCTCATTTTGATTATTACAATATGTGATATTTATGAGTAAATTGCATTTTTCTCTTCACATCTTGTCCTTTAAAAAGTGTAACACTTGGAGATTGAACAATGGGGCTTTGTGTTCCTCAAGCTCTTAATCAATAGTATATAGAGTGTGAGCCGGTGTCTGAGGGCAGCAGGCTCAGTGGGGAGATGTTTGTGTTAAATTTTCTTTCTGG